GGGAGGGATGGGCAGTGGGGGGGCAGCCCCCCGGAGTTATGTTTCCATGGAGATGTGTTTGATTCTGCCCCACTGCGGGGGGAGGGGGCCACAACCCCTCCTGTACCCCCCAGGTTGAGGGGGGGGTTGATCCAGGGGGGTTATATTCTGTGGTCACTCGCTCCCACCCCAAATCCTCCTCTCCTGCCCCCCACACCCGCTGAGCTGTGGGGACAGAAGTCTTCCAGATGTGGGGGAAATGGGGGGGGAGGGGCTGCTGTTGCAGATGTGTGTGGGGGTACCCCAGATGTGGTAGGTCCCTTTGCAGCAGTGTGTGTGGGGGGTCCCTGACAGTCTGCAACCCCTCCACATCCAAGTGATGGGTCCCTGGGGAGTCCCTTTGCCTCCCTGAACCCCAGCATGTCCCTTCCTGCGGGGAGTACCTCCGCCCCCACGTCCTGCTGGGTCAGCATGTGGGGTGACCGCTGGCTGACGCCAGTGAGTTCAGTGGGGCGGCTGCCAGCTCCCCTTCCCCACTTAGTACTCAGGGCTCACTTTCTCCCAGCCCTTACTCCTACAGTACTCGGCCCTTACTCTGCCTCCATCCCCTGTTACTCAGTCCTTAGCCTAGCCCTATTTCTATGTTACTCAGCCCTTACTCCTACAGTACTCTGCCCCTACTCCCCTCTTACTCAGTCCTTAGTCTAGACTTTTTCTATGTTACTCAGCCCTTACTCCTACAGTACTTGACCCTTACTCTGCCCCTACCCCCCTGTTACTCAGTCCTTAGCCCCTACTCACTCATGTTCCTCGGCCCTTACTCCTATATTACTTAGTCCTTACTCTGGCCCTACTTCCATGTTACTCAGCCCCTACTCCCAAGTTGCTCAGCCCTTACTCTGCCCCATTCATGTTACTCTACCCCATTCTCATGACACACTCCTCCTACTCCCATGTTACTCAGTTTCTACTCACACGACACTGTCTATACTCCCATATTACTCAGCCCTTACTTGACCCCCTACTCAGATGATACTTAGTCGCACTCAGTCCTTACACACATGTTACTCGACCCCTACTCACATCTTACTCAGCTCTTACTTGGCCTGTACTCAACCCCTAGTCAAATCTTACACAGTCCCTTGGCCTCTTATTTGGCGCCTACTCAAATGTTACTCAGCTCTCACTCAGCCCCTCCTGAGATCTTACTCGGTCCCTCCTCTGCTGTTACACAACTATTAGCCTGTAGTCAGCCCCTAGCATGCTCTTGACTCAGCCCCCCCCTCCTCAGTCACTTCCCAGACTCTGCTCAATCCTTACTCCCATCCCTAGTCTTTACTTAGTCCTTACTCAGATGTTACTCCGCATCCTCTCACTACTAACTTGGCCCCTACTCGACTGTTACTCTCTACTCAGTGTTTGGTCCATGCTCAGGTGTTACTTGGCCTAACATTATTCTGTGGTTACTGAGGCCCTACTCATCTGTTCCTCAGCCCTTACCCAGTCTGAGTTTACCTGTTACTCCAATCCCTGCTCAAACCTGACATAGTCTTTATTCAGAGATTACTCCATCCTTACTTGAGCTTTACTCCGTCCTGAGCTGGTCGCTCACACATTACTTGTTCCTTACTCCATAAATCCAGAGGGTGGTCGGAGTATCATGGGGTGATCTGGAGTAACAGAAAT